GATGAATCTGTTTGTTTTCTTGGCAGTCCATGGTACATTCAATACTCTTCTCCAGCACCACAGCTCAAAGGAGTCAATTCTCCTTCTATCCTCCCTAGTCATTGTCCAACTCTCTGATGCATAACAAGTGATTGCAAAAACCATGGCCTCAAAACCTAGAGAGTGAATTTTTGGAAAAAGGAAAGTTCTAGGTCCTTTTTTGGATCTAGATTTTGAAGTCTTGGAGTAGTGTAGATAATAAAAAAATGGAGGACAGATTACAGAAGGCCACTGACAAAATTACATTAAAAATAATAATGGCTTCAATTTGAGATAAAGAATACTGAAAAGTTAAAAAAAATCATTAACTTAGGCAGAGTTTAAGAGTTTATTTGGTTTCATTAAAAATAGGTTTTCTCATAATACAAGTCTAAAATACTGGTGGATAAAAGGATTCATGAAACATACCAGTCTCTAAAAGATTACAGAAGACAGTGGGAATATTTGAGGTGCTTAAAATCACAAGTGCTCCAAAAGTTCCTGTGGAATTGAAATAGCTTAATTGGGATAGGAATGTCTGTCCTTTTGATTGTTACTTACTCCCCCAGTCTCTGTGTATCACTGTTCCTGGCAGGTAGTATATAACCAATCAACAGTTGGTGAATGAATAAATGTTTCATGATTTCTAAATTTCCCCCAGTAACTTATTTTTTGTTCATTGACTTATTTAATATTCAAACTGTATTCCTAAACACTTGATCTATAAATTGCCCATTGATATCACTTTTGGATAAGCCTAATAAACAAGCTATTAAGATCATTAAGATGAATATTACTCACATTTTTGTGATAAATACAGGGTTTTCAGGCCATTTTCCCCTGAATACCTTCTTTCACCCCCATCCCTCCCATTATTTAGCATTTTTGTGTTTATTTTGTATGGACATAGTGAGTTACGATTTTTTATCACAATCTTGTCCTGAGGCCTGTAGTTATGTACTGTTTTTATGTACGGTCATGATTTCTTCAAATGTTTTTGGTAATATCATATTATGTGTACTGAAACATTTCAAAATACATTATACCATATAAAGCACTGGCTAAATGTAAAGGATTAAGACCTTAAAACAAACATCAACATTCTGAGGGCACTGCATCAATTTAAGGTTTGAATTATTATTAAAAAGGAAATGTGAACTGAATAAGCCATAAGAAAGGTTAGCCTAAATGAAACAGTAAATGATCTTGTAAAGGTAACCCATGGTTATAAACATACTTTGGGCTATAATTAGGATATTAAGTTTACTCAGCAAGGTAGTGTATTTTGCTCAACTTTACATTTCATTGTTAGAGAAACACAGCATAAAGTAAACTGTAGCATTAAAAGCCAGCCTCATTCCAATTTATTTTTATAGCATAGTGCAAAACAACCTAAGCTGAAAGTACATTCAGGCACTGTGACTTAAATCCCTAATGGTAAGAAAGTAGTTCCATAAACAGATGTGATCATGGATTCTGAGCTTATTTGCTTGTGGCAAAAATAAAAGCACCAACTCAATAAGTTTTAATTTATAGACATCCATACCAGAAAGCCTTTGGGCACTTTAAGCAAAACCCACTAAAGGTAAAATTTAGTAAAATAAAACCTAATCTTACCTATTCTCTATTACACTAAACTAAAAAAACTGAAACTCAGTGCACCAACTTGGCTCTGACTCATAGCAACCCTCACGTTTCTGAGACAATAAATCAAAGTACAAGAAGATTCGCCATTTTTGCTCCTGCAGAGTCACTGATGGATTAAAATCAGAGATGTTCAGGCTTTGGGTTAGAGCCTCTGCTCACTGTAGATTACATCACCAGAGTTCCTTCAACAACTGCCATGAAGAAATGTGAATTTCCCAATGGGACAGGGAGAAATTTTTCCAAGTTTCTTCTTGGTTCTTTCTTGGAATTGAAACTCTGCTGGACTCTACAAGATACTTTTGAGATTGGATCCATCCTACAATCCTATGTGAAAGAGAATGGCCAACGATGGCCATTCTACCCCCAGAATGTCCTGATATGTGTGATGTGGAATATGGTCATTAATATATGCAAAGTTCATCCTCCCTATTTGGAAATTGTATATATCTTTTTCTTCTGAAGAAAAATTTAAAATATTGTCATCTAGTCAATTCCAACTCATGGTGACCTCATAGGACATAGCCAAATTTCACCATAAAATTTCCAAAGTTATAATCTTTATGAAAGCAGAGTGTTACACCTTGTTCCCCCTGAGCAGTTGGTAGGTTCAAACAGCTAATCTTTCAGTTAGTAGCAGACCTCACAACCACTGCACTATTGGGCCTCCTTTGTTGCTGTTGTTGATGATTGCTATGGAGTCGAGCACGACTCATAGCAGCAACCTTATAAATAAAAGACCCAAAGCTTTTCAATAACTATTGTCATTTATCAAAGTCATAGAGTTTCCAGAGGCATGTTGTTTAGGAAATGTATGCCACTCCTACTTCCAAGCCTGTCTTAAACTGAGAGGTCCACCAAACTCTGTCCACCATGGGTAACCATTATGGCATCTGACACCCCAGTGGAACAAGGTTCAGTATCACAGCAACCCTGCGTTTCCTCTTAACAGCATATTGACAGAAGAGTGTTGTACCGCTTAGAAGAATATCCCTTCAAAATATAGCAACAACCGACTTTTAAATACAAAGGCCCTCTCTGAGATCTTGTTGACTCCAAACAAGAGGTTTAAATAAAAAAAAAAGAAAGAAACCTAACCAATATAGTATATTTTAGTTGTTATGGGCTGTTGAGTCACCTATGACATATAGCGACCCTATGTACAGCAGCTCTGAACCCTACCCTGTCCTGAGCCAGTCTCACTAATTCCAACACAGTAACTCCCATTGTCCCAGATACTGTATCAATCCACCTCATTTGTGGTCTTTCTCTCCTGAACTGTCCCTCCACCCTTTCAAGCATGATATCCTTCTCCAAGTACTGATCTCTTCTGGCCGTGTGAGGAAGCTTCAAAATCCTAACCTCCAAGGACCGACTTGGTTTCACTCTCTCCAAGACAGACCAATTTGTTTTCTAGGCAGAAAAAAACTCATACCATATAAACTGGGCTAGTGCGTAATATATACTCGACCTCTAGTTATGAACACTATTGTTCTTTCATTAGGCACATACCGAAAATCCTTATTCAAGTAGAAAATAAATGAGAAAGCTATGGGACAGGTGATATTGGCCTGACATAGACCAAAAGGATTTACCGCAGCATGAACTTACCTCACATTCTGTTCCTCCAAAGTCTCACTGGTGAATTCCAGAAGGTCAGCAGCTGTGCCCACAAACATAAGGAGAAGCTGAGAGAGCTGGTCTCTAGTGATCCCGCCTCCAATAGGTAGAAGCCATCTTCCAATTATTAACATTAACAGAAAAGTCTGATGGAGTCCCAAAGTCCAAACTTTTTCACATACTGTAGATAAGTTATTTACAAAAACTTTGGCCTGTTTAACAGAAATGTCATATATTTAGAAAGGTTATGAGATGTCCTCTCAAAAACATGCCTTCTTCCTTATGACTTTCAATTAACCGTTCGCCTTTGTCTTTCGGTATTTTCAGTTTGTGTTCTCAATTCATTAGAAAAAGCAAAACACCTTTCAACTGAACATTTTGGAAAAGAAGTTTGTGTAGTGCTTAGGATGGAGATGTCTTACAACTAGCAAGCAATCTAAATCTTACAATGGATAATGAAGCCAAACAATGTCATATTCAAAGTCAATTTCAAGTTCTGTCCTGAAATACAATTTGTGAGTTGTGATAGGATAATACCCATAATATCCACAAATAAGGAAGACCCACTAACATGACTATTATTAAAATATACGCTTCTACATCTGGAGCCAAAGATGAAGAAATTGAGAATGTTTACCGAATCTTGCTGAAATTGATAAAACATGCACTCAAGATGTGCTAATGGTAATTGGTGACTGAAAAAGTGAGAAACAGTGAAGAAGGGATGTTTTTGTTGTTGTTATGTGCCATTGAGTCACCTTTGACTCATAGCAACTCTATGTACAACAGCCCTAAACCCTGCTCTATCCTGTGCCAATCTCACTGTCTCCAACATATCCACCCCAATTACCTCAGTCACTGAATTAATCCACCTCATAAAATGTCTTCCTGTCCTGCACGGTCCCTCCATTTGGGAGGGTGGAGAGAAGAAGAGATAGTAATTGAAAATAAGGGCTTAGTGATAGAAACAAGCCAGGAAACACAATGAATTTTGTATTTACAATAATTTATTAATTGCAAATACCTCTTTTAAAAGACACAAATGACAACGTTATGCATGGATCTCACCTGATGGGCTGATAGGAATCAGTCTGACTACATTTGTAGAAGAAATTGTTGGAGAAATTCACTGTGAGTCAGACCATCAATTACCCATATACAAGTTCAAACTGAGGCTGAAGAAAATAAAATGAAAATTCCATCTGAATTTTATGATAGCCTTGGGAATAGGTTTGAGACTTTGAACATCAATTATTGAAGACCGGATAAGTTGTGGGATGATATCAAGGATATCATCCATGAAGAAAGTAAAGTGTCATAACCAAAACAAAGGAGAAAGAAAAAAATTGAAATGACTGTCAGAAGAGACTTTAGAAATCACTCTGGAGCGGTACAACCTAATTATGTTTAACTAAATGTAAATAAAGAGCATTACTATAGATTTATTATTCATACTCTGCAGATTCTATTAAATCACATAGAATCAATAGCCTAACTTATTTTTTAAAATTTAGAGTAAAGTTTGATGCTGAATCTGTCTTCTACATCATTTTCTAATAAGTCATATTAGGCTTTCCAAATATTAAGCATGTACAGAGCAAAGAAATAATTTTATGGTGGCTGGAATTATTCCTTATTCGTGCTTTAAATATCTCATTGCCATCAAATATGAAGTCACTCATAGCTGACCTTTCATTGGGTTTCCAGAGATGTAAATTGCACAGGAAGAAATGGCCCACCATTCTCCCCTAGAGGTGCTAGAGGATTTGAACCACCAGAGCTCTGAACCACCTTTGGATTAGCAGCATAACTTCTTATGGACTGTCACCAGAGTTCTCTGTTTTAGTAATACATTATTGTTGTTATATGTCATAGGGTTTAAACTTATTCCAATAGGTTTTCAGAGACTGTGAATTGTACAGAATGAAATTGCTTACTTTCCTCCTGCAGAGCAGAACTATATTATATCATTCCTTCACAAATGCATTTGTCTTCATGTATATGTTGTCTGATATATTTGTCATAGGTGCATAAATGCTTCAGGTTAAATATGTTTAGTAATTTAAATAAATTATTTTGTATTATTGTATTATTTATAAAGGGCATATAATATGTTTGACAATTGATTTGTATTGATTCCAACTTATGGTGACTTCACGTGGTTCAAGCAAAAGAGTAAATAATTTTTAATGACTGATATTTTGGAAGTAGACTGCCAAGCATTTCTTCTGAGGCACCTCAGGGTGGACTAGAACTGCCAATATTACGATTAGCAGTGGAGAATGTTAATTATATAAGAAATTATATAACTAATTTTCTGAAATATTCTAAGTATATGAGAGACTAATAACTGAAGGATAGGTAACTCCGGTGACCTAGTGGGTAAAGAGTTGCACAGCCAGCTCAAAGCACATGGTTTTAAAAAAAATAATAAATAAATTTTTGAAAAGCACATGGTTATAATCCATCAGTTTTTCCACAGAAGAAAGATAAGCAGTCTCATCCAGTGTGATTTAAAGCCTCATAAAATACACTGGAGGCTCTGTTATAAAAAATTTCCATCTCGACAGCAATGTGATAAAGATGTAATGTATTTAACATGTTACATGTGTTTACTATTCATATTAAATGTGTTTAACAGCATAAAAGGTAATTATTTTATGAATTCTTGCTCTAATCTATTAGCAAATCTGTTTAGAAAAGTATCATCTAATAGGTCCACTGCTTGCTAAATTCTTTGTTGTGTGCCATATAGTGGGAACTGGCCTTAGCTGACCCGCTAGTGGGTTTTCAGAGGCAGTTAATCGCACAGGAGGGGATTGCCCATCCTTTTGCAGAGCAGCTGGTGGCTTCGAACCTCGTGCCTTTGGGATTGCAGCTCAGCTTCTTGCCACTAGGCACCAGAGATTGTTTAATATAGAATAAAAACATCTCACCGTTTCAATAAGATCATCTGCTCCTTTGATCTGTTCACTTGACAGCAGAGTTTGATTGAAGTCTTCTCTACTACTGACATTCTGAGTCACTGCTTCAGATTGACTACTGCAATACTAAGAATTGAAAGGAAAAGGGGAGAAATAATTATTTTTAAAAATCCATGATAAGGTTGTTGCTATTGTTGTGTACCTTAGAGTCAAAACAGACCCATAGCTGACCTGCTGGTGGGTTTTCAGAGGCAGTTAATTGCACAGGAAGAGATTGCCTACCCTGCTCCCACATAACAAGTAGACTTTAAATAACTTCAATTACTAGAGATTATATTAATTAATATGCACTTTACACAGTATGTATAAAGATTTCAAAAATTCCAAATATAACTTCAGATACAAAACTGCTTTGTAACTAACATGAAAAAGAATGTCTCAAACAAGCCCTATTTATCTTTAGGTCAATGAAGATATAAGTGATCTGTGTCATTGTGGGGATGCTAAAATTTATGAATTGAAAAGTAATTTTTTTTCTTAAATGCTGGAACAATCATAAAATAAAGACTTGCAAGGCATGCATAACCCTGGTTAAAAGCATTTGAAGAGTTTGTTGGATGGAAACCTCTCAGTGTAAAATAGCATTTTGCTTAAGTAAATAAGCCAAATACTTTCAATCTTGCCTGATAGTCCCATAATAAGCAGAAAATTATCATGTTCACCTAATAAAATATACCCTACAGTGTCAATTTAAAAGCCAATTTAGGTTGATGGGAAATTTGATAATAGAAGTAAAAGAATTACTTTTTCTTTCTTCTCCAAATGTTTTGTGAATTTCTGCTAGTGAACTGTGGGTGATATTTATCCATATAAATACTGAAAATGAAACTAGAGGTAAGGAAGGAAAAATATATAAGAGAGGAAAGAAGTGACACTGGAAAAAATGTAACTGTGGCCAATTAAAATATGCATATTTTCTCATGACTGTAACAAGCAGAGAAGGCTAAGGATTTCCTTAACCGAAGGGGAATTGGTGTGGACTAGCTGCAGTTTTGGGAAAACAGTACATCCATGTGCTCTAGAACCCAGAACCCATGTCCAAGGGCCAAGAACTGCAGCTCTTAAGTCTTCCTTACTACAAAGATGAATAGAAGATGTGGGATTTCTTCACCCAAAGGGGAACAAGCATGAATCAGCAACATTTTCCAGATAACAACATTCACCTCACTTTGGGCCCTGAGGCCAAAAGGGGAGCACTGATATACAGGTCCTTCACAGAATATTGCCCTCCTCGGGACATTACACATTCATAGCAGCCTAACATCTACCAAGACAAAATTAACATAATGTCCAGAAATTAGCAGGATGCCTCAAACATCATGATAAAATAACCTTTCTCCTTAAAAAGCATAGTGTTTTACAGACCCAATGAACACCCCAACATAGAAAACTAGAAGAAATTTGCTGATGTGGAGTTATTTGAACAGCTACATAAGAAGGTGCAAATGATGGAAGAAACAATGGAAGCCATTAAGAAAGCAAACATTCCAGAACAGGAGAACAGAAATAATAGATTGATAAGGAGCAAATGGAACAACTATAGAAGAAAATGCAAAAGATGGAAGAAAAAGATTAAACTATACATGAAGTGCCACAAGACCTTAAAAAGTCATCACAAGATAGGGTACACCCAACATGGTACTAGAAAGAGCAAAAATGAATGAAAATCCAATCCGGAATATTAAGACCAAAATGGTAGAAGTGTCCAACAAGTTGGAGGGATAAAAATGCAGAACAGAAGAGATAGAACAAGAGAGTCAGTGAGCTGTAAGACAAAAGCCTCAATAGAAACCTACCAGAAGAAAAATAAGAAATGAAACAAAGAAAATTAAGAAAAAATTAGAATCATATGGGATAAAATAAAATACAGCATTATATGTATGATTGGAATTCTAGAACATGAGAGGAAGAGGGAAATCACTGAGAAATTTGTGGAAGAGGTACTAGAAAAAACTTCCCAAGCATTATGAAAAATGGAGAAATCCACAGCCAAGAAGCTCAGTGAACACCAAATAGATGAGATACAAGACTAAAACCATCAAGAAGTATCATAGTTGAATTCTCCAGAATAAAAGATAAGGATAGAATACTAAAAGCAGTGTGTGAATTTTCCTCAAAGTCACAAAAAGTCATCTACAATGGGGGAAAAAATAGATTAAGTTCTGATTTCTTACCAGAAACCATGCAAGCTAGAAGATGATGGGAGGGCATATACAGAAAGTGGAATGAAAATGACTGCCAGCCAGTGATTCTGTACCCAGCAAAGCTGTCCATCAAATATGAAGGAGAAATTATATCAGTCGCAGAAAAGAAGGAATTTGTGAAAACAAGACCAAAACTAAAGGAATTTTAAGAGAAGTCATTCATACAGAGATATCAAAGGAACGTGGATGAATCATAGTAACCAGAAACAGAAAAAGAAAGTCAGCAAAATGGCAACAATAAAACCTGGCTTGTCAATAATCACACTTAATGTGAATGGGCTAAGAGTACCAAATTAGAAAATAAGTAGCAGAATGGGTTGTTGTTGTCGTTGTTGTTGTTGTTATGTGCCATCAAGTCGTTTGCAACTCATAGCGACCCTATTTACAAGAGTCCTAAGCACCATTCTACCCTGTGCCAACTTCGCTGTCTCAAACACATTCATTCCCACCACTCCACTCACAGAATTGATCCATCTCATCGAGGGTCTTCCTCTGCTGTGCTGTCCCTCCACTTTCCCAACCATGATGTCCCTCTCCAAGGACCAGTCCTTCCTTGCAACATGGCCAAAGTATGTCAGATGAAGCTTCAGAATCCTTGACTCCAGGAGGCATTCTGGCTTCACCCTCTCCAGGACAAACCTGTTTGTTCTCCCTGCAGTCCATGGTATATTCAACACTCTTCTCCAGCACCACAACTCAAAGGCACCAATTCTCTTTCTATCATCCCTATTCACTGACCAACTCTCCGATGCATAGCACGTAATTGCAAAGTCTATAGCCTGGATCAGGCGCACCTTAGCCTCCAGCCTGACGTCGTTGCACTTCAGTACTCTTGAGAGGTCCCTCACAGCTGACTTTCCCAATGCAATTTATCTCCTGATTTCCTGGCTGCTGTTACCAAGAGTGTTGACTGTGGAACCAAGTAAACAAAAACTGTTAACTATCTCAATCTCTTCACCATCCATACTGATGCTGGGGGAAAAAAGGCCCATAAATATGTTACTTACAAGAGACACATTTAAGAAATGAAGAGAAAGATAAACTCAAAATCAAGGGATGGAAAAAAATGTACCAGCAAATGGTATCCAAAAAAAGCAAGAGTGGCAATACTAATCTGATAAAATAAACTTCAGAATGAAAACCACCCTAAAAGATAAGGAAAGACACTATATACTGATTAAAGGCAAAATAGATCAAGAAGACATAGCTTTGATCAAAATTTATAACTCAATGATAGATGTGCAAAATACATAAAACAACAGTTAATAGAACTTAAGAAAGAAATAGAAGCACCACAATAGTGGTAGGAGATTTCGGTAGGAGAACACTACACTCACCAAAGGGAGGTCAATTAAAAAAAACCAAAGATGCAGAAGATCTAAACTATAGTCAGCTAACTTGAATTTATGGATGTATTCAGAGTATTGCATGCAACTAAACCTCAATTGATTTTCCTCTCAACTGCACATAGTACATTCGCAAGAAGATCTAAACTATACAATCAGCCAACTTGAACTTATGGATGTATTCAGATTATTGCACACAACTAAAACTCAATTCATTTGCTTTTCAACTGCATTCGCAAGAAATCATCATATATTAGAACACAAAGCAAGCCTCAACAAATTATAAAACAGTAAAATAATCTTCTGAGACCACAATGCCATAAAACTAGAAATGAACCACATAGAGTAAAACGTACAAAATCACCTAAATAGAATATAAATAATAACCAGCTAGAACACCATTGGGCTTTAGAAGAAATAAAGAATAAATTTTAAAAGTTCATTGAAGCAAATAAAAATGAAAAGATGACATGCTAAAGCCTCTGTGATGCAACTAAGGTAGTTCATAGCAATAGGTATACACCTTATAAAGGAAAAAAGAAGCAAAATTAATCTAACTCAATACCTTTACCAAATAGAGAAAGAAAAACTAATCTCATAGCCTCTAAAACAAAGTGAATTAAAAGAACAAGAGCTGAAAACAGATAGAAAACAGAAAAACATTTAGAAACATCAAGAAGACCAAAGAGTAGTTTTTCCAAAGGGTTGGCAAACTTAACAAAAGAGAGAGAGGGGGGATAAAAGAGAAGACACTGATAACTCTATTAAGAAATGATAGCTATTACATCACAATAAAACCAGATGAAATTAAATCGATAAATATCAGTATTATGAAAGGCTATGTTCTGACACATTTGAAGACCTAGAACAAATACCTTGAAACTCATGCCCTACCCAGAGTGACATGGACTTAGATGTAGAACACTTGAACAGACTCATCACGAAAGAAGAAATTGAGCAGGTCATTAGAAAAAAAAATACTTCCCACAATAAAAGTTCTGTACCATATGACTTGATGACTGAATTCTACCAACCATTCAGAGAACTATAACCAATACTGTTTAAATCACCTCAAATAACAGAAAAAGAAAGAACACTCCCAAAGTTGCTCTATGAAGCAAGCCTAACACTAATACCAAAACCAGGAAAAGATATTATCAAATAAGGCAACTGCAGACCAATTATTTCTCATGAATATAGACGTAAAAATCATAAACAAAATCCTGGCCAATAGAATCTAACAGCATATAAAAAAATAATTCATCATGACCAAGAGGATTTCATAACAAGTATGCAAGGATGGCTCAACATAACAAGAATATGCAACATAATTGATTGCATTTTTGTTGTGTAGAGTTGGAACTGACCCATAGGTGATCTTCCAATGGGTTCTCAGAGGCAGTAAATCACATGGAAGGAGATTGCCCATCCTTCCCCAGCAGAGTGGCTGGTGGTCTCGAATCACATGCCTTCAGGATTGTAGCACAGCTTCTTGCCACTATGCCACCAGAGTTCC